TTGCTTCTTTCATAACACCCTTATAATTTTTTTTTATATCTGGTGATATATTCCAGCATGTCCCTAGACAGATTATGCTGTTTCTTATGACCATTTAACAGTCTCATCCTTTTACCAGAATTTCTTATGCCTTGGGTAATCCATTTGTTTTTCCTTGTCATTTTCATATAAACAGTCTTTTTTTGGAAATGATATAATAATAAAGAATTGTGTCCATAAAATCATTAAAACTAGCACCTGCATCTGAGTTTGAAAAACTCCTGCCATAACTCCTTCTACAATAAATAATTGAACTCCTGGATACCCTCTTTAGTAAACTGTCTTTTTTGCTCATTTTAAGACCCCTCTCTTGTCTGTTTACATTAATCTTTAGTGTTTGTGCCAAGTGGTCCGAATAAACCAAGTCCAATACTGATGATGTGCATTCCAAAACTTGCTTGTTTGTTACTATGATATCTATCTGTGTTAAGGAATTCTTTGTTACCCTGGTTGGGGATGTAATTATGTTGGCCAAATTATACAACCGGAGCAAATTTTTTAGTTCTCGTACTCTTACACTGTCATCTAAGACGTTTATGTTCCAGTCACCACATAACATTAGTTTTTTCTTTTTCAACTGCACATTTTGGATTACAATTTCCAAATTTTTTAAGAACATTTAAAAGTCACCATCTGGTGACCTATAAATACACACAAAAACTATTTTATCCTTCAACAATTCCACTATGGACATTTCAAAATCTTTTTCCTCACCTAATTTTTGCAAGTAGAGTAGTTCTGTAGTTTGTACATACACTTTTACATATATACATGAACCACCATATTCATAACTAGTTCTACTAAACTTACGTACAAGTTTAAAATGCTCAATATTTGTTAATTCTAATTGATCCTCCTTTAGTCAATGCTCAGTGAAACATACTATATCAACATTTTTTAGGTCAGATTGTAATAAAACAGTTAGTTCCAGTATTTTTTTTTAAGCTCTGCACATTATGAGGGAGGATTTGTATATTATCTGCCTTTATATGAGTCATGTTTTTATTCTGCTGTCTCCCACCCATAGAAAATATCCCTTCTTTTAGAGGGTGGTTTTCAGAGTTTTCGTGATGACATAATTTTAGTCGTGTCTAAATTTTGATCCTGATTGAGATCCCTGCTAGAATCTTTAATGTCACCCACCAGATGTGGACTGACATTTTCTTGGGAAATCAGTGAAGTCAGGGTGTGATCAGTCTCATTTGGCTTTAAAACCCCATTACTCTCTTGCTTTCCTATCATGTCACAGTCTGTATTCAAGAGGAGCTGGGACTTCCTGTCCTGATCACTCCCATCAACAATCTCCACACAAGGGGTCAACTTATCGACTTATCACCCAGACAATTCCACTTTAACACAACTGGGACCGATTTGTTTATGCTAAACAGACCATTTATCACTGTTGCTACTCTTCTAGCAATATGCTCTTTCCCTTGAGAGTTTAAATGCAATCCGTGTCTTGTGAATAAGTCCAGAGCTGAGTCTACTGTTACTACAGAATGATTTAAATAAACGTTTTTTAGTTTCTCAAGTTTTCTATTAAGCACTGGGACTTCATCATTTACACAGGAGTTTGGTGAAAGGTCATATCTGGGTTAGACATTTATCACAATGACATTTGTGTGATTAAGAGAATTGATTATCTCTTTTAATGCTCGCATTCCCAGATTAGACTCATTTCGACCAACATCCTTTGAACCACCCCACACAACACATACATCACTCCTTGTTAAACCCTTCAGATCCGAATCAGAGAGGTGTACCAATTCTCCCACTGGAGACCCGGGTTTTACCAGTTCC